ATCTATAGGGTCTATAGGGTCAGTGCCAGTAAAGCAGGGGGGTCCAGTCCTGGTCCTCGAGGGCTGCAGTCCTGCATGTTCTAGATGTTTCCTTCTTCCAACACACCTGATTCAGATGATCAGCTCATCATCAAGCTCTGCAGAAGCCTGATAAGGATCATTTGAATCAGGTTTAGAGTAAAGAACCCATCTCTCCTCAGTCAGCTGTAGCTTCTGTTTCAGTGTCTACCATCATGAGGAGGACGGGTCCATCAGTGTGTTTGTGGATATTTAACAGGTTTCTCTCGTTTGTCGAGCTCTCCTGTTGCTTTCTGCAGAAGTCCGGTTGTTCCTGCTACGCTGTGCTGAAATGTGGCGTCATGATCACGGCTCCACAGACGTTCTGCCGATGAGTCAACTTTGAGTCAACAACGTGGTGTTTGTTGTAAATCCAGCCTCAGACTGCAGATCAGCAGAGCTTCAAGGTGTGATTAGAGGACAGCCTGTAAAACACCAGCCTGCTCCTTTAACCAGGATCTGCTTCACCCCCGTCAAGCATGAAGTCCTGCAGCTCTACGGAAACAGAACCAGGACTAGAAGGAGAGAGAATCAGGAACGTCAGGACGACAGTCAGAAAACCAGAAACATCACACAACATTTACTTTCTTTAAATAGTTCTTGTTTATTTTTGCTGCCAGAGTTCATTTAGAACATGTTTAGAACATGTTTAGAACATGTTTAGAACATGTTTAGAACATGAGTACCACCTGGAATAGAACAGACGTGTAGAAGCTGCATTTTATCAGACATCTGAGACGAGTCTGAGGTTATGAATAATTCTGGACATGGTATTTTAGTATAAAGATTAAAAACCAACAACATAGAAATAGTTGAAGTTCCTTTATCCTCTCTAACTCTGTCTTCCTGTCTTGTGCCACTTGTTTGTGTCTTTTCCAGCCAGAAGGAAGTTTTTGGTTAAAGGAAGTCTTTTTTTTTTTTCTGGCGTATTTGAGGTTTTAAAATCTGTGTTGAAACAAAGTGTGAATAATGAGTCGTGCTTTTAAAACAAGTGCAGCGTGACTGAATTCTTAAAACCATCACGCTGAAGTGTTTTCACCTTCTGCTGCATTAACTGAATGAATTTAATATATTTCTTATTTTATGAGGTAAACTAAAGTTTTTTTTACTGTCCCCCATCTTCAAGACTTTCAACATTACCCTGAAAAAATTCATTAAAATTTACTTTAACTCACTTTAAATATGTAAATATGAACAGTTTTATTTTACCTGATTAAAAAAATAACATTTCAAAAAGGTTGAAATTTTAAAATGAAGTATTAACAAATATATATTGTAATTATTAATACTCATAGTATGTGAATATGTTTTTATTTATGTATTTTATGTTGTACTTATATATGCAGATACTTTTATTATATGACTGTAAAGGCTCTTTTTAGTTGTGCTTTAAATATATTTATTTAAAACAAATCCAGACAAACAAAAGAAATGAAGTCTCAGCTTGTGGTCGGACAATAAATCTGTTCTACTCTCATTTTGTCCGTTTGGACCAGAGACAGTTGGCAAAATATTATTAAAATGATTATTATTAGTGTTTTTAAACTGGTCGTTTCATGTCTCAAACATGTGGCTGTTCACCACAAATCAAACGCGCTGTTCGTTTGTAAATGCAGGCTTCAGTTTTGGGGGATTTAACCCTTAACGTGGACTAAAAGTCAGGATGCACGGACGTCTGTGATCTGCCAAACAAACTGAGTGTGTTTCAGCTTTAACAGGTTGAAGTCTTGGTCTGAAGGTGCTGAAGCAGCTGCAGAGCAGAACGAGCTCGTCCAGGCCGCTGTGTGTGTGTGTGTGTGAAGCTCTCTCTGCATCCCTAATGAGTGTGTGTATTGTTGCATTGTTGTATAAAATTAGCAAATGAATAAACGTTACGTACAGACGCTCAGTTCCCAGGAATTCTTTCACACGCTCTGTGTTGGAGCCGGAGCTGCACCGCTCCTGTTGAGGCCACAGAAACCTGTTTACATGGTGTCACTGAGGGATTAAAGCTCCACATGTTCTGATGAAGACCGGGTTTAGGTTTAGGTTTAGGATTCAGGAAATAAGTTAATATAATGTTATATGAAGTGGCCTAAACACAAACTGTGTGGGTATGTGTGTGGATGAACTTGAAACCATCACAGTGAGGACGTCTCTGGTTATTTTGGTTTTAGGGTTCAGATTTAGATGATACAGGTTTAACAGGAGATCCATCCATTATCTACACACCGATCCAGATATATATATATATAAAAGTGTGGATTTATTTACATAAAATAACCTAAAAACGTATTTAATTCAAGACTATTCTGGAGTTTTATTCATATTTATTCTTAAAATCAGCGGTGGATGTTTGTCATGCTGCCTGTTAGCTCGATGAGCAAAATTAGCCCTTAGCTCAATAATATGCTCAGTGTAAAACATAAATACTGATTAAATCATGTAGTGACACAGTTTAGACTCTTAATGTATAGCGGCTAACAGAATGCTAATGTGTTTTATGCTAACACAATGACTAACATTAGTTTTGTTATGTTAGCATCAACTTTGTTAGCTAAAGGAGCTAAAAAGTGCTAATGGTAAACAAACTAGCTGCTGTTAGCACAATTATGTTGAAAACCACAACAGAACTAATTCTTTAGCTCTGCTCTGCTCCAGTTTGGCTAACTTGCTACTCTTATAAACACAGATGTATCATGCTACCTAGCTGGCTAATGCTACCATGTAGGAAGGTCACAGTGGTTAGCGAACACACTAGCTAAGGCAATTAGTAATATTTGCTTACAGCATACAAGCCAGCTGTTGTGTTTTTCTTGATAAGCTAAAATGTGTCTCGACAGAACACCATTCTTATTATAAAGACAAAATGATTTTAGACTTATTTTATAATAATGGGAGAGTTTCTTTGTGCTAATATTAGCTTAATGTGATGAATTGCATGAGGGGGCCTCTAGTTTTAATCCATGCTGTCAGTTAATGGACTCATTTCTGTTTACCTGTGGTGCTGATAGTGTGTTAGCATTATCACTG